TACATACAGCGCAACATTCCTGCCTTAAATGGGCAGTGTAGAAGCGGCATGTCAAACACTGCAAATGTTGCCTTAAGTTCAGTTTTTTTAACGTACTCAAGGCAAATATTGAGTACGTTGTTGCAGGCACATCAGATATCACGAGATTCCCATAGGAAAGAATGGACTTAGGATTGCCTCGTCTCTGTACATAAGCGGAAACGACGCCTACATGACAGTCATGTGAGAGTCACAAGGTGTGAGGTGGCCTTAAACTACCCACAGTGCGTATTAGGACGACATCGTAAAACTTGATTTCTAGTTGTATGTTGTAAGATGCACCCCCTCAAAACTGTTCCTACTGGACCTTAAGCGTAAGGGTTTGAAAACTGACCATGAACTGCAGCGTCCCTGCTTCACATCCGTTTGTGGAGTGACTGAAACAGGTGTCATAGACTGCTTGCTTTATTAATGATGACATAGATGGCCTCCTTCACTCCTCTTTCAAATCAGCTGTTTTCTCTCTCCAGTATTTGGACATTGCTGTCCTCAGAGTCTCTTGTCCCCGTCCTTGAGGACAGCAGCGCACAAATATTGGACAAACGAGGGAGAGTTGGACTGTGTGTTGTAACAGATCAGCCACATCACCCACTTTTGCCTTAGTCAGGACGATCACTGCTGACATGGCAAAATCAAACATCCAGCACCAACACATTCTCACTCTGTCCTCGTCACATATCGACGTTTGGTCATGGACTCTCCACGTGGAGATATAACGTCCCAAGGTACCCTGGGTGTGTTGGTTGTTGACATTCTGGGAAGCGTGTCAACTTCAGCCTGTTACATGCATTGTCTGTTTTCAAAATACACTTCTGTTTTCACGGGAAATGTACAGTTTGCATACAGTCTCTTTCAAAATAAAAGCACTACACCAGTACAACACCACAAATTGATGTTTTTTCCCCTTCAACAACAAACACATGGTTGGGTTTAGGAAAAAGGAACAGGGTTTGGCTTTATAATCACACAGGAAGTGAACACTGGCCTTTAGGGTAAAGGTCAATGATCCAACACATTCTGTCTTTAACGCTGTAGCTGCAACATTAAGAAACAACTGACATGTAACAGCTTTAATTAGAGGTGCTGTTTATTATGTGATATTAGTGCAGATACAGAGCTGAGCTTGTGTCACAGATTTCATAATTTCTATAGACGAACTGTGGAGTGCCCAGGGGTGCCAACACCTACTCTCCTCAGGCGCAACACGGCAGTACTCACAGCAAAATGGTGCCATCTACACTCGGGTCCCGGTGCTTTTACTCACATGCATTAAGTGTAGGGACCTCACCATAGGGGCTTTACCTCCCAGCAAGGTGGCACTACATATATATATATGAATGTTACGTTGGATGTCACAAAAAGTACACTTTGTAGACTGATTTATTTTATGTGATGAGGGAATATCTATTATTCCACCGAGGATGATACAAAACCACCAGGGGGCGCCAGAGTCCCAGCTGAGAGCCTGAGAGTGGCCCTGTGTGAGCAGGGTCGGGCATAGTGTGAGAGAAACTCTACCACAGTCCTTTTAAAAGCCTGAGTGCATGGCAGTGTTCAGAGGGAGTGTGTGGAAACATTTGTAAAAAGAACCTTCATTCTTCTATAGTGACAAAATCTGGTTTTAGATGTTGTATTGCTCCACACTTTCTGTTTAGTTTTCTCTGTAAAAAGCCTTCCTGTAAAAGTATGTTTGAAGATTGTTTTAAACGAAGCCAAAGAGTTCCTCAGGAAGGAGTTCTGCAGCTGTGGGGCTCGAACAGGAAAACACCAGGTTTCCTTTTGTAACAAGGCAGGCTATAGAAATAGTTAGGAGGGCAGGCAGGCCTTTAAACTAGGTTCATAGGGTGTTAGTAAATCTACAATGTGTGTAGGAGCCATGTAAACTCTATACTCAATAGGTACCCCTCCAAGAATTGCCACCTTAACATGATGGAGGGGTTTGCGTGTCCATGTGAGCCTGGGAGCTGTGTTGTCCGGGGCTAAGAGCCCCTGGTAGAGTCTCCCAAGGCAAAGTGGTCCCAGAGGAGGGGCCAGACTAAAAGCGGTTCAAGAAGACTACCAGGGAACGAGTATCTCACCCGGTATGGGGACACCGATCTTGGGGGGGAGCTCGCCAGTGAGTGCCTGGTGGCTGGGCCTTGGGCCTTGGGCCATGGGGCCCAGTCAGGCTCAGCCCGGATGAATAACATGAAGCCGCCACCCTGTAGGCTGACCACGTGCAGGGACTGGCATCGGGGTCGGGTGTATTGTGTGCTGGGCGGCAGGCAGGGGTGACTACTCAGGCATGCTGATCCCCCAGCATCCTGGACTGGCTCTGGGGACTAAAGGTACTGCCACAAGCAAAGGAGTTCAAGTATCTCGGGGTCTTGTTCATGAGTGAGGGCGTGACATGGATTGCCGGTTTGGTGCAGTGTCAGCAGTGATGTGGGCGCTGTGCCGGACCATTGTGGTGAAGAGGGAGCTGAACCTGAAGGTGTAGCTTTTCAATTTCCTGGTCCATCTCCGTCCCAACCCTCACCTATGGTCATGAGCTCTGTTTAGTGACTGAAAGAATGAGATCACAGATACAAACAGCTGAAATGAGTTTCCTCTGTGGGGTGTCTGGGCTCAGCCTTAGAGATAGGGTGAGGAGCTCAGACATCCGGAGGGAGCTCAGAGTAGAGCTGCTGTTCCTTCACATTGAAAGGGGTCAGTTGAGGTGGTTCGGGCATCTGATCAGGATCCTCCTGGGCATAGAGGTGTTCTGGGCACGTCCCACTGGTAGGAGGCCCCGGGGCAGACCCAGAACACACTGGAGGGATTACATATCTCATCTGGCCTGGGAACACCTTGGGGTCCTCCAGGAGGAGCTGGAAAGTGTTGCTGGGGAGAGGGACGTCTGGGGTGCTTTGCTCAGTCTGCTGCCCCTACAACCCGGACTCGGGTAAGTGGATGAAAATGGATGGATGGACTTAACAGGTGGCCAGTGTAGCATTGCAAGGTGGGAGTGATGTGGTCTTATCTCTTGGAATTAGTTAAAAGCCTGGCAGCTGAGTTTTGAACCAGCTGGAGACAGGAAATGGTCTTTTGATTGAGCCCTGAATACAGAGAGTTAGAGTAATCCAGACGTGATGAGATGAAAGCATGGATGACTTTTTCAAGGTCCGCTTGAGATAAAAAATGTTTTCCTTTTGCAGTGTTTCTAATTTGATGAAAGTGCGATTGCACAGCTTTGGTTATTTCTATGTCGAAACAGAGCTCAGAGTTAAAGATGGTACCCAAATGAAGGGCAGAAGGCTTCACATAGAAGGACAGGTTCCTAAGGTTCTTCTTTAAGTCAGAGGTCAGGTTTGGGGGTACAAAAGAAGGACCTCAGATTTGGACTCACAAGCCATAACATGAGAGAGACTGTCAGGGTCACAACCAGTCAGCGGAACATAAAGTTGCGTGTCGTCCACATAACTGTGGAAAAGAATATTATACCCACAGATGGTCTGACCCAGTGGAAGTATAGAAAACAGAAGGGGACCTAGACCTGACCTGTGAGGAACACCACAAGAGAGGGGGGCTGGGGATGAGAAGTATTTTCTGATTAGGGTTCGTGGTGGCTCAGTGGTGTCCCATATACAACAAAAATTTTGTTGTTGTCTTGCCTGTATTAGAGAGGGCAGTCTGAGGGTGAAGGGGGGAGAGAGAAAGAGGATGACATGCAGCAAAGGGCTGCAGGCTGAAATCAAACCTGCAGCCACTGTGTCAAGGACATTGTCTTTGTATATGGGACACCACTGAGCCACCAGGAACCCTAATCAGAAAATACTTCTCATCCGCAGCCCCCTTCTCTTGTGGTGTTCCTCACAGGTCAGGTCTGGGTCCCCTTCTGTTTTCTATACTCTAATATATATATATATATTCTCCTATTACATCAGAGAAAGAACTTTGAGGAAAAGTGAGGTTTCAGGTGAGTGAAACCAGGCAGGAGCGTTGTCCTTAACTCCAACATAGTTTTCAAGGAGGTTTATAAGGACACTGTGGTCTACCGGATCAAATGCTGGACTCAGATCAAGCAGAATTAAAACAGAGCGAGCCCCCAGAGTCTGAACTCTGAACTGAATGCAGCCATGATCTGTGTTATTAGTTACACCTGTGCTGTCCACACCGTAACACGTCAAAATATCTGCAGTGAAGGTCAGTCAGCATAATAAGAGGGACAACATCTGTGTCTGTCAGTCTACCGATGAAGCATCACCCATCCTCTTTGCCGAAGACTCTAATATTGTCCAACACAAGCAAACGTTGGGTCCTTGATCACTGACGCCAGTTATTCCGTACATGTACTGAAAAATGTTTCAGAATGAACAAACTTTCTCTGAACATCAAAAAATCCGATTTTATAATCTTTGGAAATGAAAATAAAAGTTATCCAAATGAAGATGGTTCACTGTTCAGTGATAATATTGAAATCAATCAAGTTACTTCTGTTTTAGTAGATGAACAGCTGTCCTGGAACGACCACATTGTGCATGAAGTCTCAATTAAGCATCATTAGGAAACCATACACATCATACTGGAACGTCATTTGGGTCGGTACATGTCAGCCTTCCCTGCAAAATATAATTTTAATCCAAAAGTTAAGCCATAGTTAATGTATTAGTTATGTTTATGTGTTTTGATTATGCTTATTAATACTTGTTCTGTCTGTTATATTCTCATGTTTAGGAGAGAAACATTATCTGTATTCAAATTCAAATTCAAGCAAGACAAATGATGATGATCATCAGCACCAGTAACACAATGACATCACTGTCTCAGGGGGCATCTCGGTTTCTTTTATTTTTCAGTAAAATTTAACATCCCATAAAAACAGACTCAGAAAAACTTTGACGTAACTTTAAAATGTTTCCTCTTAAAAGGAAGTTATTAAATGAAAAGTGAAAAAAAGAGACTCGTTTTCAGCCAACGAGCTACGTCACTTCCGGGATGTATGGCAGAGCAAAATGACAGCTGGTTGTTTTCATCAACAAGGAAAATTGAAAGTAGACATCAAAGGTATGTAGACTGACGACCTTGTATATTCTCAGATTATGACACGTCCTCTGAGCGCACTGTCATCAGCTGCTGGTTATTGAAAGTATATTTTTATCGCTGCCATCTGTAATGATCCATCTCGGGCTGCATCGAGCTGCTGCTGGGGGTCAGACTCACTGATGCTGAGTCTGGACTGGACTCTGTCTGCTGCTGCTCGGCTGTCAACAACCGGCAGCCTGCTCTAACTATTCATCAGTTAACTGTAGTTTAGTTTAGCCGGGGATGTAACGAGGGAAAGTGGAGTAATTGTCCGAACAGGGTTAGCTATATGCTTTTTAGTGTAAAACCAAACTCCATTCAGAAAGCTGTAAATTTATAGTTGTCTGAGCCACCTCGGCCTCTGTATAACATAACAACACAAATGTAAGACCTCTAACCAATGACCAATACTTAAACATCAATTCGGCGTAGATTTTATAGAAGATGTATCACTTAAAACAATAAAATATCAACTTTTATTACCGGTCTGCCTGTTGTTACCAGGACCACTTCTCACCAGGTGCTATAGCTAGGACATTGCGTATAAAAGTTTGAATTTTGTCTAAATATCTATTGTTATGTCAAAAAGGTGTATGCCGAATTAACAATACTTTTATGCTGAGTGTCTTAAGCTTTTAATATACAGCTAAATGTGTACATTAATTGATAAGCAAATAAAAACTGTAAAATTACGAGACTTGTCAAGGGCCTTTGGCATGGCGAGTTCCCCGTGAAACCGAACGAGCCGAATTCCATTCAAAATCACTCTCTTTATAGATGCCTGTCTCCTATCGGCTGATTTATAATGTCACAACACTTGAGATATTTTATGATTCAGCAAGAGTTACATCTGAGTTCGGCGCATATTTAACAGAATAAATACCACATTATTGGAATAAAATGTCAACTTTTATATTTGGTGTCCGCTTTGCCGCCGCGATCATTTTTCCACACAATAGACGTTACCCCGAGCCGGTAAAACGGGCATTTCGTTAAAATTATCATAGTTCTGTTAAAAGGATATACGCCGAATTTACGGGAACTCTTTGCTCAATCGATTAACATCATGCTTTTTTAACAATGAGATTCTTCTATGTGCTAATAAGCAAAGATACTTCAAATTGCGCGAGTTCTCAATGGGGTTTGGCGCAGCGGACTTGACGCTTAAGTCAGAACCACTTCACTTCTTTTCTTTATTGATTAAATGGCTGACTTACTGCACAATCATCAGTCACTGAGTATATTTATATTGTCACTGACAGATAATTGTGTCTTTTTTTAACCCTGTGGGGACATGACTGTCTGTATCTGCGCTGTAAAGGCAGTTTGTCTGTTCACAGCAACACTCTGCTCTGAAAGAAAAGAAATCTGAATGTGCTTCCTCTTCTTTTGATTATATTGACGTTGGCCAATGAGTAACAAGGCAGAAACTGATCTTTGTTCTCCAGGGTCATGTGGTGAACAGCCTCCAAGTCCTCCTTGTTCTGGTCTGTCCAGAGATACTCTTGACAACTGACCAAAAGAGGGACCAGCATTTCATCTGGACACGTCTGCCAGCCTCACCAGCCACTCTGGAGTAAGACAATGATAAAAAGCTTCCCTCTTATCTTCTAAACAGACACCTCTGTCTCGTGTAAAATGACATTTCCTCTCATTTCCCTGACAGGCCGTCAGCACAAACACAGAAGAAGACGGTGAGCTGTGATAGCGGTCAAGTCCAGGGAGACGTCTCTTCAGGTAGGACGCTCTCTGACATATATTTCATAACCATGTACAGATTACATAAACAAGAAGAAACAAAGACAGTGGGTCACACGTAGCATGTGTGTTGCAGTGGATCTGTTTTATTTGTCTCATGTCTGTAGGAATAACTTGATTTATCAGCTGCAGGGAAACAGATTGCTTTCATACATGACCACAATTTACTGCAGCCTGTTTTTGTCAAATAAGATATTGTAACAGGATCCTTTTATTTTTTATTTCACCAAAACCACTACATAATTTATGCTTCCCTGCAGCAGATTCCACAGCGAGGCTCTGCCCACCGAGCTTTTTAAAACACACAGATCCGCTTTATTTTATTTATAGACACTTAAGTGGTAAGTTAAGTCAAAGGGGCCGACCTCACTTTCTGTTTTATTTTGAAAAGATCAGCATGAAGATCAGCTGTCTTGTTCAGAGCAAATTTAGGTGGGACAGTGCCCCCGCTGTTGGCTGCTGAGGACACCTCATTGTGTCCCTTCCTGCCCACATCATCATCAGACCTGGTCGTCCTGGTGTTTCTGCACGGATGGCTGATGTGCACAGGCAGGACCTGAGGAAAGAGCAATGGTTTATTTACAAAAGATGCTTTGTGAAGATGAAACAAAGAGTTGAGAGGGAATAACTGAGATTAATGGACTGATTAGCAGCGTACCCACGGTCATGGAAAACCTGGAAATATTTTATATGGAAATATTTTTATATCGTATATTCCAGGCCTAGAAAACTCATGGAATTTTGTTGTTTGTGATGAATCTAATTGTTAGTAATCTTCAGGGATAACCTTCCACATAATGCAACATAACTGTGAATTTATTTTCTGTAAGTTATCCGTTGACATAACGTAGCTCTGATATGTGTCAGCTTAGGGCTGCACGATATATCGTTTCAGCATCAACACTGTGATGCACAATAGTCACATCGAAGGACGTGCAATGTCAAGAAAGACAAATTAACTCAACTTATCTGATGCTTGATACAAATATAAAACTTGCACAGTTCTCATTTTCCATGACTTATAGCGGCCAAGCCTTCTGCTTTTAGACGTTAAGTGTATATGTGACGTAGTGTGGTGGTGTTTGTTATGGGAAGTGAGACTCTCCTGCATGTGTGTGTGTGGAAAAGTATCGTAACCAGGCCGGTGAGTGCAGCAGACACAGTGAAGTGCATGCTTTTCCTTAATTAAATTTTATTATGGGTCCTTAAAAAGTCCTGGAAATGTGTTTGAATCCTGGATCAGTGTCGTCATCAGGACCCTCGTGTTCTGCTGTGTGAAACCTGCTGATAAAAATGAGGTCAAGATCAAACTCTGGGCTGCAGTGTGTGTGATTTTTTGCTGTTCAAATTCCTAACAGGGTTCCCACACTTTTCTGGATAAAATTTCAGAATGTTACTATGATATTTTTCAAACACTGCTCCATCTCAAAAGTGCAGCACAGTTTAAAAGTAGAAGTGTAGCTCAGCGTAGATATGGAAACTTTTGGATTCATGACCGTACGTGATAACTCCAGTTAGTTAGCTCACATGAAGGACGAGACTGAACACGGGCAGAAAACAAGGAAACGTACAGTACAGGACAAAAGTTTGGACACACCTTCTCATTCAATGCGTTTTCTTTATTTTCATGACTATTTACATTGTAGATTCTCACTGAAGGCATCAGAACTATGAATGAACACATGTGGAGTTATGTACTTAACAAAAAAAGGTGAAATAACTGAAAACATGTTTTATATTCTAGTTTCTTCAAAATAGCCACCCTTTGCTCTGATTACTGCTTTGCACACTCTTGGCATTCTCTCCATGAGCTTCAAGAGGTAGTCACCTGAAATGGTTTTCCAACAGTCTTGAAGGAGTTCCCAGAGGTGTTTAGCACTTGTTGGCCCCTTTGCCTTCACTCTGCGGTCCAGCTCACCCCAAACCATCTCGATTGGGTTCAGGTCCGGTGACTGTGGAGGCCAGGTCATCTGCCGCAGCACTCCATCACTCTCCTTCTTGGTCAAATAGCCCTTACACAGCCTGGAGGTGTGTTTGGGGTCATTGTCCTGTTGAAAAATAAATGATCGTCCAACTAAACGCAAACCGGATGGGATGGCATGTCGCTGCAGGATGCTGTGGTAGCCATGCTGGTTCAGTGTGCCTTCAATTTTGAATAAATCCCCAACAGTGTCACCAGCAAAACACCCCCACACCATCACACCTCCTCCTCCATGCTTCACAGTGGGAACCAGGCATGTGGAATCCATCCGTTCACCTTTTCTGCGTCTCACAAAGACACGGCGGTTGGAACCAAAGATCTCAAATTTGGACTCATCAGACCAAAGCACAGATTTCCACTGGTCTAATGTCCATTCCTTGTGTTTCTTGGCCCAAACAAATCTCTTCTGCTTGTTGCCTCTCCTTAGCAGTGGTTTCCTAGCAGCTATTTGACCATGAAGGCCTGATTGGCGCAGTCTCCTCTTAACAGTTGTTCTAGAGATGGGTCTGCTGCTAGAACTCTGTGTGGCATTCATCTGGTCTCTGATCTGAGCTGCTGTTAACTTGCGATTTCTGAGGCTGGTGACTCGGATGAACTTATCCTCAGAAGCAGAGGTGACTCTTGGTCTTCCTTTCCTGGGTCGGTCCTCATGTGTGCCAGTTTCGTTGTAGCGCTTGATGGTTTTTGCGACTCCACTTGGGGACACATTTAAAGTTTTTGCAATTTTCCGGACTGACTGACCTTCATTTCTTAAAGTAATGATGGCCACTCGTTTTTCTTTAGTTAGCTGATTGGTTCTTGCCATAATATGAATTTTAACAGTTGTCCAATAGGGCTGTCGGCTGTGTATTAACCTGACTTCTGCACAACACAACTGATGGTCCCAACCCCATTGATAAAGCAAGAAATTCCACTAATTAACCCTGATAAGGCACACCTGTGAAGTGGAAACCATTTCAGGTGACTACCTCTTGAAGCTCATGGAGAGAATGCCAAGAGTGTGCAAAGCAGTAATCAGAGCAAAGGGTGGCTATTTTGAAGAAACTAGAATATAAAACATGTTTTCAGTTATTTCACCTTTTTTTGTTAAGTACATAACTCCACATGTGTTCATTCATAGTTTTGATGCCTTCAGTGAGAATCTACAATGTAAATAGTCATGAAAATAAAGAAAACGCATTGAATGAGAAGGTGTGTCCAAACTTTTGGCCTGTACTGTATGTGATGGTAAACAAAATGTTGTCACAAATGAACACATATTAGAGCAGCGTTACATCAGCAGCTACAGAAAATAAACTCACTGTTGTGTTACATGACATTGAAGGTGATCTACAACAGATTACTGTAACAATTAATTTCATTTAACACAACAAAATTACAGAATTTTACTGATACCATGACTTTTCCAGGTTTTCCATGACCCTGCTTTTAGGAATCTTTGAGAAGATGACAAATGATTTTGCAGCTAAAGTCAAGTGTTTTGATACATTTCTTTAACTCTCTCATGGTCTTTATATTTTTAACTGGTGTGGCAAAAGTAGGGCTTTGTTTTGACCTTCAAATGTGAATTTGTGCAACAATTATTCAATTGATTTCAATTTTTTCCTGTATTATATCAATTTATCATCTTAAATTGAACATCTTCAGGTTTTGGACTGCGGGGACAAAAATATCACAGTTTTAGGACGTTATCTTGATCTTTTAGTGATTGTCATGGACATTTTCAACCATTTTCTTATGTTTAATAGCTGAAATGATTCATTCAGCGTTCATGAAAATAATCATTAGATTAATATGTAATGAAAAATTACATATTATATCATATTATAATTCTGGACTCTTCTTTTGTGTTGTTGATTGTCATGATTGTCACTGTAGGAGCCAGAATGTGTGTTTAACCTCTGTTGCACACGTTCTTTTGGTCACTCTCACTTCCTGTAGTTGTAGTTGACACAGGTGTAGTCTCACATTATTTTACCTGTTCATTCAGTGGAGTGACGGTTTCTTTAGACAAAGAGGGTGAGTGTTGGCTCTGATGTTTTCTGTTGATCGTGATCTCACTTTGCTTTAGTGTGTCAGTCGTGTGTTTAATCAGTGATCATAAAAACACAACATGGCTTTCTTTCAGCGAGTCACACTTGTGTATCTGAGTTGTGTATAATGTGTACAGCAGCAGATGTGGTTGACTGCACGGTTAAACACGGTGGTACGAGCTGACAGTTCATCACTGTGGACGTCTGTCTCTCTCCCCCACAGCAGTGGGTGAGGCTGTTCATCGAGACGGAGCCATGGAGCCTCCAGAGGTCAGGGACGGCCGCACCTTTGTGGAGGTGATGAGTGAGAAGTACAGCCCAGAGAACTTCCCGTTACGCAGAGGACCTGGTATGGGAGTGGTGGTGGTGCCTACCGCAGGTCCTCAAGGCTCCCCTATGAAAGGTGAGATGGAGATGAGCACATCACTTTGACCTCTCTGCAGTGTGCAGCCTCTGTGGACGAGGCCGAGGGTTGTGACAGTTATTTAAAGAGACAGCACGGCTGAATCCACATGTGCACCCTCCAGACTGCAGACTGAGCCCTGTTGGACTGTAGTCGTATGCAGTGTGTCATGTTCATCACCACTGTGTCAAGTGTGTGAGAGCAGTGGGCCGACAGAGGGGATACAGTGTGCTGTTAGATGGAACTTAAGACTTTGATTTGATTCATCGGTTCCTCTCTGGGTGTCGATTTAACACCTAAAAACAACCATGGTGGTGAAAAAGTTTTTAAATAGCTCACTGTACACCTCAGTATGCATAACCGTACCTGTTCATCAACACAAAACATTCATGTTGATGTTCAAAACATCAACACATTTCTCCTCCAAACAGCTGTTTTTATTTCAGCTTCTCACCAGAAACTACATTTTATAAGATTACATTTGAACACATCATGAGAATGTTATAGTTTACCTTTTCCTAATACTCATTTTCACCGAAGAGACAGTGAATGCATCATAAAGTAACTCAATGCGACCTCCATCAGCAGTTAGTTGCGGCCACCAGCTGCCAACAGCTAACGTTAACTAGCTCTCCTCCTGACAGTGTCAACACAGATCTGTCGTTCACAGTAGGGTGGACTCACACTGGAAGTGCTTTTGTATTAGTTAAAACCAAAGTTGATGTGGCACAACAGAAGAACATGAACCACTGCCATTGATGAAGGGCATCTTATTTGCTGATAGGCTGGTGGCAGCAACAAGGTCATGGTCAACAAGGTGAAAATCAGCTGATAATGATGAACAGCCAATAATTCGCTGCATCCCAAGAAGCTGCGCATGCTTCTGCTGTGATACCCCTCGTTTTGCAAGCTGATGTGATTGATTCCTCAATTGCTTTCTTCCGTAATGATGAGATGAGTTGAAACATACAACTACTTGCAATGTGCCGTTCTGCGTCGTTCTAAGAACCTGCTGGTTCACAGCAAGTCAACTAGATGAGATGGTGCATCATCTCTATGCAACAGCTCTCTGTTCTCCTGTGATTTGACCAGCTGAGTGTCAGGTGACACCATCAGCCAGCTTAAGTCATGCTCAGACCGGGCAGTTCACACCAATGCAACTTTTGTCTGCAACGTTCTAAGATGGTTTCATCTCGTTGTGAATCTTTGGTCTGAACTGGGCTTGAAATTTGTGATGTAATAAATCTTGAAAGTCTGAATTCATGTTTTTGAGGCTGTCATTGGTACACTGCAGGTCCAAGGAGAAAATGCTCAGCCTGCTCACTTTGCTTATGATATGTCTTGTAGCACATAAAAACACCATAAAGACGTGCTCACAAGGTTAAAAAATGATTTCCAGTGGAGAGGTCAGCTCCTCTGACTCATTAATCTCAAGTCCACTTTGCTCAAATAAAAACCCTCCTTTCTCTGTATGACCCGTCCCCTCTGTCTGACTGATCCTCATTAATCCTCACTTCCTCCCTCTCCCACTCCTCCTGCAGACCGTCTGAACCTGCCCAGTATCCTGGTGTTGAATAGCTGTGGGATCAGCAGGGCAGGAGACCAGGCTGAGATCGCTGCGTTCTGTGCCCATGTCATGGAGCTGGACCTGTCTCACAACAAGCTGCAGGACTGGCATGAGGTGCCGTCTCTGGGTTCATTAACAGTAGTTCATTTCCATTGCTGGTCATATTCTATATTTCAGTTAACAAATTCTGTCTCAAACAGTGAAATCAGTCTGTAATGTTTGGTTTCAAAGTGAAATCACGTCACTGTCTCATTTTCAGATCAGTAAAATCGTGTCCAACATCCCCAACCTGGAGTTCCTGAACCTGAGCTCCAACCCGCTGGCAGGAATGACCCTGGGGCCGCGCTGTGCTGAAGGCTTTTCCCGGGTCCGACGCCTCGTCCTGAACAACACTCAGGTGTCCTGGGACACCGTGCTGCAGCTCACCAGAGAGATAACAGAGTAAGCAGCTTCAAACTGTTGCAACAGCACTCTTAATAACAGTAGTGCCTTTTCTTTACCTTTATTTGTCCAGCTTTGTTTCCTTGTTCTTTGCTGTTGTGTCTTTTTCTCTGCGTAAGCACTGGAGTCAAATTACTTGTATGTGTGCACGTACTTTGAAATTAAAGGGACAGTTCACCACAAAGTCAAAACTACATATTTGTCCTGTTACCTGTCTACATTGTTTTGGTGTGAGTTGCAGAGTGTTGGAGATATCAGCTGTAGAGTTGTCTGCCTTCTCTCTAATATAATGAAACTGCTCACAACAAGGTCTGTGGATTTTCCTGAGTAACCAGGTCATGATTTCTGGAAAGAGACATTGATGTTGAGTTTTTAAAATGTATTTTTTGGGGACTCTGAGCTCCACAAGCCGAGCGTCATCTAGTTCCATTATACTGGAGAGAAGACAGACATCTCTACAGCTGATATCTCCAGCACTCTGCAGCTCACACCAAAAAAATGTAGATAAACAGCACTACAGGTGAGAGGGGAAATATGTGTTTTTGATTTGGGGGTGAACTGTCCCAGATGATGGGCAGATGATCTAATAAATATAATATCAGCCTCACAGTCTTGTTCTCCTGTCGTCCGGCAGGCTGGAGGAGTTGTTCCTGTGCCTTAACGAGTACAGTGATGTGAGTGCCTCCAGTGTGACCTGCCCCACCTTACGCCTGCTTCACATCACCGACAACAGCCTCCAGGACTGGGCCGAAGTCCGCAAGTTTGGCACCATGTTCCCCAGCCTGGACACTCTGGTCATGGCCAACAACAACCTGGCCTCCATTCAGGACAGCAAGGAGATCCTGCAGCGGCTCTTCCCCAACCTACGCAGCATCAACCTGCACAACTCAGGTCAGCTGAGGGTTGAACTGTGTGTGTGTGACACATCAAGTGTCCCCTGATGAGGTTTAACTCTAGTATAAAGCACTGGATTGCGTCAGGTTTTCAGTTGACAGGATTTATCTGAGTCGGTCCAGTACGACAGTGTCAGCGTCGTATGCAGTGACTTCATAACAGCTGATATAATTAGCACGAGCCAGCATGTCACTGTATCCTAAAAGCTTTGTGTTATTTGTAGAGTGTTGCAGCAGATTCTTCTCCACGTCAGCTTTTATCTCAGGAATTGTTTCTATATCGGGGAGTATCAGTGGTGAATCTATTTTTAGACTTCTGTTGAGAGTAGAGACAAAAACAATATCCAAAGACGTGTTCAAACTGACTTCAGTGGATCAGTTTGTCATGCCTCCTTTCTGCGGCACAGAAAAACATCCTTCATGCAAGTCGGATTCAGCCTTCAACGTTTATTCCTCTGAAGACAAAAACAGATTCTGCTGACAGGCTGAGATGATTTCACTGGTTACAGTGCAGTTTCTATTGTTTCAGGGATTTTTAGAATGGCAGCAAAGACTTCGGTCCAGGATTCAGATTATGACACACTTAAAGGGATGGTTAAGAACTTTTGAAGTGGGGTTATATTAAGTATTTATCCATAATCTGTGTATTACATACAGTACAGTTTGACGGAAAGATAAAGCGGTAGAAATACTGTATAGTATATAGAACAGAATACAGCACACACCTAAACCAAATTTTTTTTAAGTAGGACATTTTTTAGGTGGCTAAAATATATTTCGTCGCTGCTCCTGTCCACAGCACTACATCACTTAGCATCTGTTTTGGCACTCCTGCCGCTACACTGACTGTGGATGAGTACCTCATACGACCCCACTTCAAAAATCCCAACTATCCTTTTTTTTATCATTAACAAACTCCTTATAAAGACCGAAACCAAATATGTGTGAGCCCATCTCTCCATTCTGTCTGACGGTGTATGGCTGTCAGCCATAAAACCCATTAGTTTCCCACTAAGAAGTTTTCTTTTTTTTCCAAAAAGGCGCTCAGTAATTTAACAAACGTTACTCAAACTGAAGTAAAAAGTCCATCTGTTTTTGACTATTTCCAGCAACACATTTAATTTGATCAGAAAAGGAGAGACGACTGGTTGCTCTGTTTTATCAAACATAGATCAAACCTTGTGTCAGGCGTTTGTGGAGAACGGGAAACAGCAGCACTCCAAAACGAGGAAGGAAATATTAAAAAAGCTTTATTGTAGTGGCGAAATCATTAACAGAACCAACATGTTTCACCCACTGCAGGTCGTAGTCAGGGTGACCTTTTAATGATTTAGCCAGGCAAGGTCGCCCCCCCCTCGTGGCCCAATTGTTGAAAAACGCACGCTAAAGTGCCCTCCTGGGAGCCAAAACATGCGCTAAACTGCCCTCCTGGGAGCCAAAACATGCGCTAAACTGCCCTCCTGGGAGCCAAAACGCACGCTAAACTGCCCTCCTGGGAGCCAAAACGCACGCTAAACTGCCCTCCCGGTAACCAAAATGCACGCTAAAGTGCCCTCCTGGGAGTCAAAATGCGCGCTAAACTGCCCTCCCGGGAACCAAAACGCACGCTAAAGTGTCCTCCTGGGAGTCAAAACGCGCGCTAAACTGCCCTCCCGGGAACCAAAACGCACGCTAAAGTGCCCTCCTGGGAGTCAAAATGCACGCTAAAGTGTCCACCTGGGAGCCAAAACGCACGCTAAAGTGTCCTCCTGGGAGCCAAAATGCGCACTAAAGTGCCCTTTTTTTTGTCTTTTCACCCCTGCCCTTCAAAAAGTCTGTGCACGCCACTGCACTACAATAAAGGATTTTTAATTTTTCCTTCCTTGTTTTCTATATTTTTTGAGTTGCCTTTCTGTCCATGTTTAATTTTCTGTTTAGTATTTGCAGCAGAGAGGACAGTGTACGTGGGTTTGATGAGGGAACATCAGTGCAGCAGCGTGGCTCGTTGATGTGTTGTAGACATCAGTGGAGCCCTACGGCACAGAGGAATAAAATAAATCTGGATTAACTTGTTAGTTGAATGTTGTTGTGTAGTGTTTTTATCTTTTTAAACATGATTGGGTGATTTCTAGTTTAATGCATTCCAAACTAGCAAAGCTTTAGAGAGTGGGCGGCCAGCAGAGGTCAATGCACGAGGCTGATATCATCGAGGGGGCTCGCCCAAAAAATGCTAAAATTTGGATTCAGGGATTAGTTAATTTTGTGGATGATGGTAGTAAGAAGAGGACAGTAATATGTAAGATTTGCAGGTGAAAAATCAGTGACAGGACTGACAACATCCAACTTCATCAGTCCCTATAAAATTTGTGTGATCATGTCTTTTTAGAAAACTTATGAGCTTACTGACCGGTCACGTGCAAAATAATAAAACTCAAATAAAACTCAACTTTAAAGACCACTGTCAGGGTGTCTGCAGGTCCTTTAAAAGTCTTCAAATGTCTTAGATTCAATTTTAGAAATATAAGACCTTAAAGGTTTTTAAATAATTCTAAATTTGAATTTCTGGGGTCGTAATTGCTCCACACATTTCATCTAATTTCATTTATTCATCTTTTATTTATTTTTCTCAAAATGAGTCAAACTCTGATTTGTGAAAGTTCACATTTTCTGTGTTACACATCTTCAAACCTGTGACCAGAGGTTTAGACCCAAGTCACATGACTTAAACTCATCAAACTCAAGTCACTAAATTGATAGTCTCGCTCACCAGACCTTTCTCAAGAAAAGAAAGGTCTGGCTGGGCCGACTCTCGCTTTGAGATTGGAGAAAAAAACGCCCCGGCTGCTTGTATTTCTTTCAACCAATCACAGTCGTTCTGGGCGGTGCCACAGCAACGGTGCGCTTGCAAAAATATTGCCGGGGGGAAACAGGTTTTAGTGTAACACGCCCACAAAAATATCAACTACAGGACGCGAACCATGACAGAAAAATGGCTACATCCCCGCAAGATCAAACACCACAAAAGTTAGTAAAGGACATGTTGAAACGGTTGAAAACTGCTACACAACCGGAGGTGGTAGGGCGTGACTTCAGCGGGTGGCTCGTTCCGCCCAATGAGAGGCTGATCTCTGCAGCGAGCTTCCGCCCACTCAGACTACTAAATTGATGATTTGATGCTCGTTGACAAAATCAAAAAAGACTTGCAGCTCAACTTGGATTTTAACACCAGTGACTCGTGACTTCACCTGGACTTTTGACATGAAATAGCTTGATACCTTCCCCCAAGTTATTTAAAAAGGGTTCAAGTCCAAAAGTCTATAAAAAGGAAAAAAAATTTGGATGTAAGCATTAGCTCATGTTGCCGATGACGGTAGTAGGAAGTGAAAAGTTGTATGTCTGGCACAACATCCAACCTCATCTGTCCCCACAAAACCCACAAAGAGAGATAAGTGAACGTGTATTTTTAGCGAACTTATTAGCTTATTAGCTGGTCAAATGTGCAGTAGTTTTCATTAATGTTTGAAAAGTAAATCTCAACTTTCACACTCACTGTCTGTGTAATGGATTTAAATGTGGAAATTGATGTAGATCATCAAATCTTCATATGACGTAACTTCTCTTGCATAACAGCAGGGACTCGACTTTAACTTGAGACTTGCTTGAGTCTTGAACATGTGACTTACTCGCACCTCTGCCACCTCTTTGCAACACATGTCTACTGTAACTGTTTTGTATTGTATGACTTGTCTGCGTGTCGTCAGGTCTCAACCGATGGGAGGACATTGAGAAGCTGAACTTCTTCCCCAAGTTGGAGGAGGTGCGGCTGCAGGGCATCCCCTTACTGCAGACCTACACCAACGCAGAGCGACGCAGCCTCATGATTGCACAGTGAGTCTCATCCAGAGTCCCAGACAGGTTGTTTGCTCCAAACACTGAGGAGTCTTGTACACAGTGTCACACACACCTGCTCATGTATGTTCGTCCTCTCAGGCTCCCTTCAATATCCCTGCTAAACGGCAGTGTTGTGACGGACAGCGAGAGAGAAGACGCTGAGAGGTTCTTCATCCGTTACTACTTGGACTACCCTGAGGAGGAGCTGCCTTACAGGTGGCTCACCCTCACTGTCTATACTCCAGCTACAGTGTCATGACTCCAAGTGATATGTACGTGTGTGTCTGCTCTTAAGACTGACAGCACAACTTCCATTTTCCTCCCCAGATACCATTCCCTGGTCACCAAGTACGGGAAGCTGGAGCCACTTGCTGAGATCGACCTCCGACCTCGCTGCCGTGCCCAGGTGGAGGTTCACTGTGAGGAAAAAGTGGAGCAGGTGTGTTAAGCATTTATAACGGATTGGTCTGTATAGTTCACAGAAGTAGAACATCTTGAGGACAGAGGGCTCAGTAGGGACGGAGCACCTGCAGCAGCAAGCGAACACGCCGCCTGTGGTCATTGTGACTTGACAAGCAGAAAGCCACCATGTGGAGACTTTAGACTTTGGATCATTGTGTCTTTGTCTCAGTGTTTTAATGCCAAAAATGTGAAAACGGTTTGTCTTGTGTCCTTGTGTCAGCTGAGCATCCGTTTGGACCAGACTGTAGCTGAGCTGAGGAAGCAGCTGACAACAGTGGTCCAGCTGTCCACCAACAGCATGAGGCTCTATTACATCGACAAGTGCAGCGCCTTCGGTCCGGAGGAGATGAAGTACAACAACCGGGCTCTCCACTCCTACAGCATCCAAGACGGTGACGAAATCCTGGTGGTGCCCAAGACCAAGTGAACAGCTGGTGTCCCACTGGATAATCAGAGTGACTCGTTGATTGATTGATTAATTGGATTAATGTTGATTGGTTAACTGACGACATCACAAAATAATTGGAAAAAGGAACAGCATCAGCGGCCCACTGAGAGTAAAACAAGAGGATGATGTGAACGCCACCATGGAGACTGGATAGTGGACTACAGTGGGCTGCTGGGAGTCACTGGCTGGAGATGCAGCCATTATGTCTTTATTTATTTCAGCTTTATTTGAGGGCATCCACTGGAGTTAGACAAACCTGTCACACTGGAGAACAAGCCGAGGGAGCGACTCGCAGTCAGCTAGAAGCTTGAGCAGAGGAGAGGGCGCTGCTGTACCAGCAAAGCTTCGCTGCAGCTCTGTCTCTTAGTACAAGGCATGTACCATAGCACCTGCATAGGCAAGTATCCAACACCACGGGCTTGCCCACTTTTTGCAAAATCTACCATGATTAGTAGTGAGAGCGGGGAAGGACTGCTGCGCTTATCTGCACTGTTAGAGTGGGCACAATATCAGGAAGAGCAGCAGCTGTTGAAGGAAAAATCATGCCTGAAACTGTTAAATGGAGGTCATTACAGTAGCATTTTGGGGTCCATTTTGTTATTTAGTGGTGTGTTTTTTTATATTTTTATGGATAATTGCCAAAATTAGAAGATGCAGCATCACATTCAGATTATTTGAGTCAAGAGGCAAAAAGCACAGGACTGTTTTTAGAACCATAATCAACAATCAGTGTGACATTTATCATAGCATACGCAGATTTTAGAAACTTAAAGATGCCTCCCTTGAAATTCAGAAATGTATAAATACACGTACACCCCCACTGATAAATCCAGAATGTATGAATGTGCAAATATGGTAATTAATTGCAAAATTTTAACTACTGAACACAAGATCTTCCTGCCTCAATTAAAGGTCCAGATGAGCACAGAGGAACTTTCCTCCTCAAGCAGATGAATGTGAAAACAGTTTTCTAATTTAGTGTCGCGCCCTGCACAGTGAACATCAAACGACCAAATCGATACAGGGTTCCCACAGCCATGGAAAACCTGGAAATGTCATGGAATTTTACAGTCACATTTTTCCGGCCTGTAAAAGTCAATGAGATTGTTATAGTAATTTTCCGTTGATAATCCTGCACGTCATGTATGGTAATGGAAAATGGATTTTCTTTGCCTGTGAACTTGACATAGCTTTAACATGCATCGATGTGTGACAGCATTTTGTTTATCATTACTAGGGATACACGATCGGTATCGGCCGCCAACAACTTGATGATCACTAAAAACAGGGTAGGAAAAAAGTGTATTGATATGGGTTTTGGTTAATGGTCAAATGAGTTTTTACATATCAGCATTTCGGGTATCCGCAAAAAATCCAGTATCGTGCATCCCTAACTATCACGTACATTTTGCTATTTTCTCCCTCATTTTTTCTGCCAGCGAGCTAGAATTATATTTGAATAGAGCTGAGGCTGATATGTTTGAAAAACGCTGGGCACATCTTTGCAAAGTCCTTGAAAAGATTGGAAATTTTGTCCATGAAAATATGTAGGAACCCTGTCAATAGTAAAGTTACGGTGAGGAAAACTGGAGGGAGACATTAAATAGAGAGGAAATAGATGAGGCAGGTTGATGGAAGGTTGACGATATAGAAAAGAAAATGACACCACTTTATGACAAAATGGCTTCAAGAGTGCAGTGATGATACACTTGTGATATTTAACAGTGTAATGAGTGTTTTAGGTTTTCCTTAATCATGTTACGTGTTTTCTACATGTGCTTTGTGGACTTTGGGGCCATCTGTGTCCACGTTCTCGGCAGGAAGTCAAACACGTTTTCAGCGAGTGTTCGGCTTCACCAGGGTCGTCCTTTGTTACTGATTCTGTTTGTCATTTTCATGGGTAGGATCTTGAGGTGCAGTCAGGGTGGGAGAGTGTCCAGTTAGGGGAGCTCAGAATTGTGTGTCTACTATTTGCAGATGATGTGGTTCTGTTCATCAGACCGTGACCTCCAGCATGCACTGGGGCGGTTTGCAGTTGAATTGCCTCCTCTTAGTTGGGAGTGAGTTGCTTCCTCAATCAAAAGAGTGAGGGTGAAATGGAGAGTGGGATGGACTTGGATTGGTGTGGCGTCAGCAGTAACGCAGGTGTTGTACTGCACCTTTGTGGTGAGGAGGTAACTGTGTCAATCGACGCTCCAACCCTCACCTGTGGTCATGATACGAGTGGCTGAAATGAGTTTCCTCTGCAGGGTGTCTGGGCTCAGCTTTAGAGTTAGGGTACAGAGCTCGGACATCCGGAGGGAGTTTGGAGTAGGGGCGGAGCTTAATGCAGGCTGTTCTCATTCCCAGGTCTTCAGATACCAACTCTTTGTCACCCCCCTTGGCATGTGATATCAATACCAAAGGCACCTTATAGCATTTGTTTGAGACACACTGGATTCTTAACTAACTCCAAAGTAAACCCATCTGCAGAAGTACGTGACGCTGAGATCAACTGATGTCATTTAAAGAGCGAGAAATCTAGAGTCGGGCGTGGCGGAGAGGAAGTGGATGGGTCAAACAAAACCTGACTTTCATCCAGGTGTTTGTGTCTTGTTTTAAATCAGAAGTCATTATTGTTTTCAATGTAACCTAACGTAACTTCCGAATGTACGTACCCTGTGAAACCAAAAGTCACAGTTGTTTTAATGTAATATTTCGTAATTTACATTTGATGGTCGGGCACTGATGTCACTTATGTGATGTACATACATCACTCTATGTTACGTTACGTTATGTTACCTTACATTGTATTGCGTTATGCTACGCCACGTTACATTACGTACATATGTATTTACATCACCCTATGTTACGTTTTGTTACGTTACATTAAGTTGTGCTGCATTGTAGAGTTGTACTGATACCGATACCAGTATCGGAGATGCCTCCGATACTGCCTTTAATGCAATATCTGGTATCTGCGAGTACAGCCCCTGACCAATCCGATACCACGAAATGCCACACGTCATTACACATACGCATGCTACAGGCAAACGAAACAGAAACAGAGTTTAAAAAGCATTCTACTGTAGCCTTTAAAATGTCTTTTTTACCAAATTGTGTGGCAGCACTTTAACCTGTGTCTTGATCTGTGTCAACACTGGATAATAATAATGATAAAAACAAGTTTTATGGCATTCATTCTACTATTATGTATTAATTTCTTAATATTTTACATAGAGTTTTAGGAGTTGAGACATACAACAATTCATATCCCATCCATTTTTATTTTACGCGCTGGTATCAGATCGGTACTCGGTATCGGCAGATACCTAAGGGTCAGGGATCGGAATCGGTATCGGGAAGTAAAAAGCAGTATCGGTACATATCACTGTGCTGTGTTAAGTTACATTACGCTACACTATGTTATCTTACGTTACATTACGTCCCTGACCCGGTGCAGGACTAAATTACGTTTCATGACGAATGTAGTTATTTTAACCCAAAACGTGATCTTTTTTTCTGAACCTAACCGTGACTACATCACAACATTAACCATGTATACAATGTGTTTCACATAGATGCATTAAAGGGTGCCTGTGTGTTGCTGTCAGACACCGAGGGGCCTGACAAAGCATCTGTACTTTGACTGCCCGGGAATGAGGACGGGTTAGATCAGAATGCTTCCTGTGTGTCTCTCTTCGGAGGATTCAGGGCACATCTAACTGGTTGATGACCCTGTGGTAGACCTAGCACAAGCCAGAGAGACTCTCCCCCAATCCCAAATGGATCCCTTACAGACTCGTTGACTTAAGCCCTAAGCCCTTACAGACCAAGGACCAATTCCATTTCTTCCCCTTAGCCCTTGTCTTGGCCCTTCCAATTGGTTTTGCGCGTTCACGTGAGGGGGAGTGGTGTCCTAATCCTCCGTCAGGTTAGCTCTTAACCTGACGGAGAATTGGGACACCAGTCTCTGTAAGGGATCCATTTGGGATTGGGGGTATATATCTCATCTGGCCTCAGGATGAGCCAGGAGGACCTGGAATAATAGTGCTGGAGAGAGGGACATCTGACTACCTTGTGTATCCTGCGGCCAGTGTGACCCACCCCCAGATAAGTGTCAGAAAATGGGTGGATGGATGTTTGTTTAATCACTGACCAAGATCTGATGTTACTGTGTGTCTCATCACAATACTGTATGCACACTCGCACACACCCACACAGCATCAGCATCATCACAAAGCAGCTGTCGTGTTATGTCATGTGCCTCCCCTACAGGTTTATTGTGACTCTGCCACTACAATTAAAGCACTAGATGAGGGAAGAAGTGATACACGAACACACACCTCAGACAAAAGACGGACTTTCAAGTGCATGTTTGGCACAGGAGCAGTATGAAGGGATAACTTCTCTATTTAAAACATCATGTGAGTGTGATTGATTATATTCATCCACCCATCCATCCATTAGCTATAGACACTTATCCAGTTCATGTTCATTTATTTGAGCACATCAGAGTTTGTCATTAACTTGTGTGTTCATGGTCATTTTGAAGGCACATGGTAGCAGTGTGTTCTCATCAGATTACCTGATTTTATACACATGGCTATTTAATTTGACCAGTTTTTGCTGTATAATAATATAATAGCATTTAGTCATTTAGTTAGATAGTCATAACATTTCATGATTCCTTTAATTGCACATGATCTTATTTCGTGGACCTTTAAGTGTTTAATCAATGCACTTTCTTTACAGTGTATTTATAATTTTATAAGAACTTTATTAGTAGTTCTCCTTGAACAGACACTGATCTCAGTTTAGTACATGTGTGTGCACCTTTAAAGGGATAGCTCAGATCTTTTGAAGTGGGATTGTATGAGGTGCTTACCTATAGTCAGTGTAATATGTCAGTGGGCGGCAGTGGCTCGGTCCACAGGGATTTGGGTCGGGAACCTGAGGGTCGCCAGCTCAAGTCCCTGTGTGGATCAAAATATGGGGTGTGGACTGGTGAACAGTCCACACTTATTAGTCAACTGAAACTGAATCTTCTTCTGTTAACTACAGTACATGGTGTTCGGCATGCCCCCAGTTTGGAGAGCAGCAGAGTGTCACCACAGAAGCTGTGGACAGGGGCATCAGCAAAACATAATCTAGCCACCTAAAAAAGTCAGTTTCTGTGTACGCTGTATTTAGAATATTGTCACTGCTTTACCTTATTGTCAGAGAGAAATTTCAAATCAGGACCTGTAGCCGTTATCTCTCTCTTCATAGCCAGACTCCATTGAAAAAAACAGTGATTTAACATCGCTGAACACAGGAGCTGCTGGTCTACTGCTGCCTCCATCACTAAGTTTGTGTTATTGTGTGACTTTGGTGTTTAAATGGTTTAGTTTGGATTCACCAAAGTCACACAATAACACAAACTAACTCACTGATCAAAGCAGAGGCAGACCAGCAGCCCCTGTGCTCAGAGAGCTATAATTACTGTTTTTCTCAATGGAGTCTTTGATGAGAGCATAGATGGGGACAAAGCAGGTAAAGGTAAAGCAGTGAAAATACTCTCAGTGTAGTGTACACTTAAACTGATACTGAATTATTTGCTGCTCCCTCCATCCATGTCAGAGATCCATCCTGCTTCTCCAAACTGGGGGCATGCCGACTGTCCTCTACTGTATGTAATACACTCACTACTTTTACATGCGCAGTTATGTCGTGCTACGGTTACAGCTTGGCTTGACTACTGTCCTTGTCCCAGTATACAGCATTTTTTGACTGAAGTATGTCCGACTCCGCTATGATAGGTGGAGATATGCCCCGTTTCAGCTTGTTAGTATTGGATCTTTTTCTGGTTGACCCATTTCGTCCCAGTCCAAACAATCGCCAAACAAGTTAGCTACGGTTAGGTAGCAGCTAGTCTCGCTCACCAGACCTTCCTCAAGAAAAGAAAGGTCTGGCTGGGCCGACTCTCACTTTAAGATTGGAGAAAAAAACGCCCTGGCTGCTTGTACTTCTTTCAACCAATCACAATCGTTCTGGGCGGTGCCACAGCAACGATGCGCTTGCAAAAAATATTGCCAGGGGGAAACAGGTTTTGGTGTAACACGCCCACAAAAATATCACCTACAGGACGCGAACCATGGCAGAAAAATGGCTACATCCCTGCAAGATCAAACACCGCAAAAGTTAGTAAAGGATGTGTTGAAAACAGTTGAAAACTCCTACACAACCGGAGGTGGTAGGGCGGGACTTCAGCGGGTGGCTCGTTCCGCCCAATGAGAGGCTGATCTAAGCAGCGAACTTCCGCCCACTCAGACTAGCTAGCAGCTAACTACTACCATGGTGGACAACTTTACAGCTCTGTACATTCGTTCTGTCGAAAAATGTACAGCTCTGAATGTAGATTTCTCCATGTTGTTACCAGCTTCTTCTTCTGTTACACATTTAATGCTACTGAACCTCTGGGTCAAAGCCCGGGGTGGAAATTGTGCAGCATGCTCAGAGCGCCTCGGCCAGTTTGGGTCTGATTGACTGTATACATGCAGGAGGAATTTGACTCCCACATTATCTGGGTGTGTTAGTCCGACTTTGAGAAATTCAATGGAGAACAATTTCATTCAGATTCATTCAGATGTATTTTAAAAGTCTGGTTTTAGTTGGACTGACACAATAAGTTTATTTTCTCTGATGTCATGTAAACACACTGACTGACTGTGGATAAGTACCTCATACAACCCCACTTAAAAAAATCTGAACTATCCCTTTACACTGCCCTCTAATTTAGTGAAGTACTACTTTATGCCTCCACATCAGTGTGTCATGTTACACATTCTACATTTCACTCCATCTTGCAGAGAATTACCTCCACCAAAGATCGCTCGTTAGGGTATTATAATGTGGAATATATACAGTATGTATTTATTTTATTACACAGTATCCACCCTGTATAAGAGGAGCACTGATGCCTATTGATTTTTCCTGTAGCAAGGAACTTAGCAGGGTAGGGGATTCCTGACAGTGTTACGACCGTGAACGCAGTTGATACAGTACGTCAAACCACTGGATTAAATATTCACATTTAGTGTGTGGAAACAAATACCTGTTCTCTCAGTTCATCCGCTGCTGATAGAAAGCTCAGCTCAGTGTGCCCTGGCCTCTTTTTAACAGTGTTTTTACCCTCCTAATGTATTAATATCACAAGTATGTAAATGCAACAATATATCCCTCCTCACTATTATAATTTACCAATGTTTATTTTATAACACTACTGCTATACTTGAATATTAGAAGGTGTGATGGTGTAGCAATGGCACACAGCAGGTTAGATGAAAAGAATTACAATGCGTTTTATCACAGTAGTGCTGAATAAATGTTAGCGTAGCTTGAACCACAGCCATAGAGTCCAGCACAGAGAGAGGCAGCAGAGCAGCTGGCACCTGAGTCTCAACTCAAGCATTTAGTTATAGTGTCTGTGCTTATCAGTGTGAGATCTGTTTGACGTGAGGACATGTGTGTGACTGTCTGCAGCGTGGGTGATGTGTTTGGTATGTACGGAAGCATATTGATGCCACGCCAGGAAAAAACAAACTGATCAGTATCAGGTAATAACATTAAAGTTTCTGATTATAACAAGATGTTTTTCATGTTTTTACAAGATATTTAATATTATAATAAAGTTTTTGTGTTATAACAAGAAACTTTTCTCGTTATAACAAGATATTTAAAGTTGTAACAAGATAATTTTTGTGTTATAAAGAGAAACTTTTTGCTATAACAAGATATTTTTCATGTTTTTACAAGGTGGTTTCATGTTATAAGGAGTTTGTCTTGTATTAAAAAAAGGAAACTTTCTTGTTATAACAATATACTTATTTATTTAGTCATAACGTGAAATTTTTATCATTAGAAGATGAAAACATGTTGCTATGACATGAAAATATCTTGTAAAAAATGTGGAAAACTTCTTATATAACAAGAAACTTCTGATGTTATTTCCTGATACTGATCTTTTTTTTCTAGCCTGTCAGCTCTACGCTGTCGTAGTGATGCATGTAATTTATTGATTTAATGTGTTTGCGGGGAGAGAGGTCTCTATGCCTGCTCAGATTTATGGAATAATG